ATTTTTGCTTACTAAACAGACCACCGTATGTTTTATCCTAGGCCCCTTTACATTACTGAATTGATAGAGTCGAATCATTATCCTTCCAGCCATTCCAATGATCGCAAGTCTTAAAGGGTGTCCACGATGAAATTTCCACACTATGAAATTGCTCTAACTTTTTAACCGTTGGGTAGAATTTAATGAAAATTTGGGTGGATTTAGTTCATAGTGCATTATTTACATCCTGCAAGTTTTAAAGTCCTGTGATCAAAACTCGCGGAAATGGAGTCGAAAGAACAGCTCGTGCGTGATAAAATCTTGCGCATTCATCACGAGAACAAGGATCTCTCGCATCGTTCCATCGCTAAAACGTTGGGAATCGCGAATTCCACGGTGTCACGAGTGATTAAGCGGTTCGAGGAACGGTTGACCACCGATCGGAAGCCCAGAAGTGAAGGAAAAAGTATTCCGTACAACACCAAAAATCACAACCGCGTAGTTGGGGCCTTCAACCGAAATCCGAACGCCTCCGTTAGGAATGTGGCTAAGAAGCTGCACCTAAGCCGAAGTTTTGTCCAGAAGGCCAAAACTAAGGCTGGGCTTCGAACGTTCAAGGTACAAAAGGCCCCTAATCGCGACGAGAAGCAGAACAAGTCCGCCAAAACCCGTGCCAGGAAGTTGTACCTCAACATGCTGACGAAAGTTGAATGCTGCATCATGGACGACGAAACATATGTGAAGGCCGACTTCAAACAGATCCCCGGCAACCTGTTTTTCACGGCCAAGGATAAGTTCAGCGTTCCGGAGCATGTCCGCACTCAGAAGATGTCCAAATTTGCGAAGAAATTCCGGGTTTGGCAAGCCATCTGCACGTGCGGGAAGCGGAGTGCACCTTTCGTGACCCAGGACACGATGAACGGACAGGTGTACATAAAAGAGTGCCTCCAGAAGCGGCTGCTTCCTCTCCTGAAGGTCCACAACGTCCCAACAATCTTCTGGCCGGATTTGGCCTCATGCCACTACTCCAAGGACGTGCTGAAGTGGTATGCGGACAATAAGGTCAATTTCGTGCCGAAAATGTTCAACCCTCCCAACACTCCGGAGCTCCGCCCCATCGAGAAGTACTGGGCGATTATGAAGCAGCACCTTCTTAAACGACCTAAGGTAGTGAAGACAGTCGAGGAACTGAAGAAAGTATGGGTTTACATGCAAAAAACGGTTGATTCACAGGTTGTGCAGAATCTTATGGCCAGGGTTAGGGCCAAGGTGCGGGCATTTGCGTATGGACTGTAAATAAAATACGAGTTAAATAGTAAAATGAAGTTTAATAGTTATTTCTCAATCCCTGAAAATTTGATGGCAATCGGATGAAAACTCGAATTTTGCGAATCAATTTTGTGTGTGGCAATTTCATCGTGGACACCCTTTATACGCGACAATTTTGAAAATCAATACATTATATCAAATCTACGATCGCATCACTTATCACGGTGAATCCTGATCCAAGAAACCCAACCTACTAACAAAATATCCCTCTTCAGACCTTTGTGGGAACGCAGAGGAAAACATGGTCCCCAAAACAACAAAGGTCGCACTAATATTCCTTCCCTACTCCCTTCTGATTGCAGGGACGTGGCCGGCGCCGTTATTGATTTTTAAAACTTGGAGTCACTGAAACTCGAACAATGAGAATGGTAGGTCACTCTCAACCCCATTCAGTTGATTCATTGTGTATTTCACTGGTTCTGATTAATCACGGAGTAGCAACCATTTGATATGTGCAGTCAGCCTAAGCTAAGCTATGGCCATTTAAGGAGTACCAAAAACCAAAAACTAGCTCTCAAACGAACAAAATTATTCAAAGGGTCAGTTTGCAAGTTGTATGCCACGTCTTCTGCTCACGCCAGTGATAAAAGTTCTGTAGAACATGGGAAATGAAATTCTCATGAAAAATTGAGAATTCTTAAGCGAAATTATATGAAATTGTTCAGGTGCAGGGACCTTTTTCTTACTCGATCACTCCCAAAATCGATGCAAATCCAGTTGGCTCATTGCGTAAGTCAAAGAAAGTATGACATTTTGTGTCGTTTCGACTTGCAAAACAATACATACAAATTTCCAAAATGTACCTCGTTGGTCTCTTAAATATCGAGATACGGAGAGTTGACTGCAGTTTTAATATTTAATTGAATTTGGATTGTGCCTAAAAAAATGTGTAAGGAATGTAAGAACAGATGCAATTCAACTAATCACCGGATTTTATCTTCCGTTGCTCAATCGGTAAAACCACAGCTGTGAAGCAAAACCATGCTGGTGGTGATGAATTTGTTTTCCGGTCCGGTCTAGATATCTTTCTGTTTGAAGAATCATTCGACTTTCCTGGGCTGAGAGTTATCACTGATTTTAGTAAGCTCTCAATTAACAACTGTGCAAGATGGAAGCAGAAGTAAAGTTACAGCTGGGGCGTATAACACAAATAAACAAAAAGAGTTGAAGAAACCATGTCCTTTGTTATTTGATGTATCGTTCAGCGAGTAGAACAGTTGGACCACTCCCAGGTTGCCCACTCTTCCAATGGTGCTGGGACTTTTACACTGATCACATTCTCTCCCTTCTCACCAAAAGCTTCCTTCAAGGAAGTTTAATTCCTTAGCAGTACAAGTCAGGGCACATTTTCGGGCACATATGTATGTCTTAGGGGACTTTTTCCATATTCCGTTCAGTTTCTCTCGGATACACAAATGGAACATGAAACCTGGATTTCTGCAGTATATTTGCTTAAGTGACACTGCTCGATGATTGATAAGCTCATGAATTGTTTATACTCTTGTGTGTCCGTTTGTCTATCTGGGGACCTTAGCGTCTGAAAGTCCTCTTTGTCTTCGCTTTCTGCGCCACCGTTTTCCGCCGATAATGTCAACCCAATGGCCACAACAGTGTAACACCCAAAAGAGCATGCAAAGCAAAAAAATAAAAAGATTTATGTGTTGTCCCTGCGTGCACCATAAATTCATAAGCGACAAAATATGTCATTCAAATATGTTCGAGGATTGAATTGGGGCAGATCCATAAAAAAAATGTATATCTGAATTAAATGACCGGTGTATGTTTAATGGCATGCTAGATAAATCGTCAACTCAGCCGGTACAGATTGTTGGAATGAGGAATCTTAATCGCCGTAGAGCTATCCTTTGCGGTCCACCCTAGCCTCTGTTCGGAACTAGCATTGGTAACACATATGCAGAAGATTTCATCCCTATCAGTAAAAAGACTAGCCCTCGTATTGGTTCGCCTCAAAGCTCAGGGACACGTAGTAAAATATTCTACTGTTTATCAACACAGAAGTTTTAATCTCGAGGGAAGCAACTGTGATCCAGGAAATTTAATTTACGAGGAACTGTCGTTGTTGTCGAGTTGCTGGTGCTAAAATGAATAGCCAAGAGAGATGGAAAGTGGGTGGTAGAAAGCCGCGTATAGTCCCCGATTGGTGTTGTCCACCCGGAGAACGCCTCAACGTTACATACCGCATTCATGCACGGAGGCTGGCTAGCTTTGGCGAAAATCAAATTTGTGGAATTCTTCTTTGACCCTGAATAAATAATGAGGCCAGACTGGAGATCACGAAACAATACATAAATTAGCACGGTAATCTTGATGGACGCCGTACTAACGTCATATGGGGATCAAAACATCAAGAAGATGAATTTGTTTTCGCAAAATGATGAATAGGATGATTGGTCGGTAATTTGATGGTTGCCCAGTCATTCAAAATGTTTGTTTTTGCTTTTTCGGTACACCAAAGAACGATGAAAGCATAAACTACACACAAAACAAACGACGTATACATCAAATCCGGAGAACTTTGAGATTTGAGCGTAATTGCATTTATAAACAAACACGTAAATCACCGATTTTTCGCGAATTAAAGCTCAATCTCTAAAACTAACAGCACAAACAGGTAGAGGAATGATTTCTCTATCATCTGGTATAGTTTGTTCGTGGGATTGAGCGTTTATTCGCGAGAAATCGGTGATTGACGAGTTTGTTTCAAAAGCAATTACGCCCTAATCTCAAAGTTCTCCGACAATGTGTGTATTCATTTGTTGAATCCTCTTTGCATGTTTCTTACAATAAATGTAATGTAAGGGTATTTTGTGATAAATTTTCCACTTTTCAGACATATCACGAAATGTGCATAGATGAAAATGATGCAATTTTAAGCTGAAATATGATAAAAAAATGAAAAAAAAAATATCAAAATATTGCTCTACGGCAAAGTTCGAGGTATTGAAAAACATTGTTTTAAACTACTTGAATGTAGTACTCTACTCTATTGATAAATGTTATTTGGTTAACGATATGATATTATTCAGAGAAATCATAAGATTATTTTGTATCTAAAAAATACTGCTCCTAGTTTACAAATATTATTTTACTCTCGGTATCGATATGAAAGTGTTCCATCGCCTATCAATTAAGAAATGCTACGCTATATCGAGGTATGACTGAGTTTTCGATGTGTACGCAAGATGGGTTTCTAGGCTCGATGTATTGGTGAAATTCAGCCAAGCTACCATTAGTTTTAGAAAACTATTCGTGGATTCATCCGTCGTCCATATTAAAAAATCTGTGAACTACCCATTCCATCCGTTTCTTCACTGTAACTTTTTAATAACTGTTATGAACTTCCGTGTTGTTATTTGTCTCGGCTAATATTTGTTATATGAAAATCTGGAATTGTACCCCCGATGGTTGAGCAATATTTGTTGAAAGAGAGTTAATTTGCACAATCTATCTAAAAGGAAGTTAACATTTTCCATGAAAACTTCAAAGCCAACAACGTGGAAATTATTTGCGACCTGTACTGCACCCATACTGAATCGAGGCAGAAATGATTAAATTATTCTCAAACTATGGCCAGCACATGTCATTCACTACCATTTACACATACTTGCCTCGTACGGCACAACCACGGAAGAACTGATGCTAATACCTTCATTCATTTAATTTCATTGCAGAGACATAGTCGTTTCCATACGAACCGCATCCATCAGTGGCAAAGGCCTCCGAAAATATCGTCCATGGCATATTGTTGAAAAGTTGCATGCACCAACGGTTTCAGTAGCACACTATATTGACGTGATCCGTACCAACATCCCAGAGCCACATGCTGTAGCATCCTCGTTTGCATCCGTCTAAACTTCAGCCAGCAGATCAGCATCGAGCCGAACAGGCAAGCTGCTTACCGACTGAAACGGCTTCATTTTGGAAGTCTCCAGCAGGAAGTTGCTTGTTATTAAAACTAAAAACAGGATTGGAAACATTAGCGTTGCAGTAAATAGCTGACGCGCTTGGTGCATCATTACCACTCGCTAACTTGAACAGTGCACGGCAGACAAAAGTGAAGTTCTTGATTCCAGGTCACCAACTGATACGAGACCCTCGTGATGAGCTCGAAATTCGCTCGGGCACCCTTACTGAAGTGTAAGTAAAGTAGATTAAAATAGCGAATAGAGGAAAGTCAAGTTTTTAACTGGATTTGCTACTAACTTATCTCTGTAAATATTAATTCTGTCTTCTATCGCCACCGTCGTCGTCGCCGTTGCTCTGTTTCAGCGCTGTGGTGTGACTTGGGTAAAGTTTTGCATAGAAAATACAAAGTTGTCAGGATCTATCCCTTGTTTTACTTTTATGCGTCTCTGGGTCGCACTACTGCTCCTGCAACTAAGTTCGTTCAATGCAACTAGTCTGGAAGAAATGATGCATGACTCCCTCAATTAAGTACGAAAGGAAACTGTTTTTATCTGAAAAGTTGAACGAAACTTTAAAATGTCTGAATAGATTTCGTACCTGAAAATAAGCTAACTACAGTGACTTGACGTTCGCTGATACAATGAACTTTTCTTCATTCACCAACTAATCTCAATTAAAATGATACATGTGCATAGCGTTAATTAGCTGCTATTTTGAATAAGGTACTACCATAGAACGGAGACAATTTATCAGTGAGGTTGAATTGCTCGTGATGTCAATATATTTTATGTTTGATAGATTTTTTTTTTCGGTAATACGTGCGTGATGTAATTAAAATTTAGTTGAAGGTGCTTTTAAAAATAATGATGGATGGCAAAAGTCACTACGCCTATTTTAGACTATGTTTACATTATGATGAGAAGAACAGGTAGCATTTTCAGGGATTTTCTACTATAATAATCTCATCCTAGGTCAAGTTGATAGCTACAGTGAGTCACAGTCAAAATCTTCCACAAATTTATTTCTTTTTAAAGTAATAAACTGCTTAGTAATGAATAAGATATTTTAGGTTAACTTTATCATATAACTGCAGCTGCACATTACTTCAGCTTCACTTTGGCAAAGTTTTAATCTTTCATAGAATTGGAAAAAAATAAGCAAAACATAGGAATGCTTCACAGTGAAAATTTCCCGAATAGGTTATAACATTCAGGGATAAATCATGTAATACGTTTTAAAAGATTCGAATATTATAACCAACACGTTGAATAAGTAATCCTGGACAATTTGCATTGTGTAGTATATTTTTTATTTAAATATTTGGTGATTGTTACCAATTTTTTAAATTGTTATGAGAGATGATAATTGTGGTGAAGCGAAGTTGAAGCAATGTGCAATTCAATAAATCAATAGTATAAAAGACCTTAGCAGATCTGAGCAGATTATAAATTTCAAAAGTATAAAAAATTGTGGACGATTTAGATTGTGACCCACTATAGGCTTAAACTTCTAAATACATTCTTAAAAAAATACACAGTGATTCCAGTTCAGGAATGGCCCAATACATTAGGAAGGTTAAAAAGATAAGGGATTATGTCTGATTTGATAAGCGGTGCCGGAGGTGTAGTGGTAAGCGTCATTACCTCTCACCCCAGCAGGCCTGGGTTCAATCCCAGTTGGCGCCGGCGGGATGTTCTGAGGCATAACGTGTCTGATCACGGCTTCCTTCAGAAGAAAAGTAAAGCCGTTGGTCCCCGGTTCATGAGTTGATGATGAGTCCATGGGAGCTGCCTCCCTGGCGTCGGTAAGATTGGTGCTCAGCACGGAAAACAAGATCGACGGAAAACAAATCAAGGAAAAAATGTCTGATATGTCCCATTAGTGACATAGAACTACGCTTTGTTATTAATGCTACATTTAATCAACATTTGAACAGCTTTAAATCAAAAATCTAATTTTCGAAAAGAGACGATAAATGAAGCAGATACGATGTTCGTACTTCAAATTGAATAATTTTTAATTTTCTCCTATTCAATTCAAATCGATTTTATCAATCGATTTCGATTGATAAATGCGTATTTCAATTAAATCGAAATTAAATTTTATAACTTCTAAACAACATATTTCACAATCTAAATAGAACTGCTTTGAACAAGTAAATCGTGCTGTTTAAATTTGTAGACATTATCGTACCATTTTCATATCTTTCTCCTCACTTTATCGCGACAGTTTATCAGAAAATAGGTATGGACATATGTATCATATTATCACTAGCGCAAATTACCAGCGCAGGTGGTGTACTGGTAAGCGTGACTGCTTTCTAACACCCCAATGGGTTTGGGTTCAATCCCAGCCGAGGTCGGTGGGATTTTTCTGAGGCATAAAAATTCTCTGGTCACGTCTTCCTTCGGAAGGGAAGTAAAGCCGTTGGTCCCGGCCCATGTGTGTTGAAATGGGTGCGATATCCTACGCAGGTGTAGAAGCTGCCTTTCCTGCACATTCGATTGTCGTCAATGGGTGGCAATCGATGTCCGTCGGTAATTGGCACTAGATTGCGGAACAGAGACCGACGTTAAATAAAGGAAAGAAGATCACTAGCGCAAAGTTCCAGTTAAAAAAATAAGGGTTATGTCCGAAGCATGACCGCATTATTAACGTATGACTATGAGGCTATTTTTGTTGCTCAATTTAATAATTATTACAGAATTCATGATTTATAAATTTAATTAAAAAATCAACAAAATCCGTTTCATTATTCAAAATTTTGAATAAGGCAACATTAAATATCCTAAATTGAAGATTTTTTTCCTTTGATTTGTTTTCCGTCAATCTTGTTTCCGTGCTGAGCACCAATATTACCGACGCCAAGGAGGCAGCTCCCAGTCCTGGACCTTGCTACCTATGGACTCATCATCAACTCATGAACCGGGGACCAACGGCTTTACTTTTCTTTCGAAGGAAGGCGTGATCAGAGATGTTATGCCTCATCTGAACATCCCGGCGACACCGACTGGGATTGAACCCAAGCCTGCTGGGGTGAGAGGTAATCACGCTTACCACTACACCACCGACGCGGCTTTAAATTGAAGATTCAAATTTAAAATAAATACTTCAATTCCTATCCCATTCAAAATTAAGTTCCAAACATGTACATTTAACTTGCAATAACTGCAAAATAATATTTTTCAGATACCGGACAGGAAATAAGGTAATACAAACGCAATTAATAGAACAAACCGGGTTGAAATACTTCAAAGTACGTTTGACAACCTAACACATTTTGATGATGTACATTTATGACAACAAAATTAATATGATTTGAGTGAACAGTTGCAGTGTCATTTATGGTAAGATCGTCCATAAAATTTACTTTCAGTTTGCCTTCGTAAAATGAAAGTCAATTTGATAGTTTCATATTAACATACACACTTGGAAAAAATCACGTAAATTTAGGTGCTCTGAGATTGACATATACGAGCATCAATTTTGATATAAAATTGAGTCATAACAGACACGAAATTCAACTCAATCAAATTTAGTTTTCGTCGAGAAACTTACTTAATTTTACATGAAATATTTGTTTACGTCTGACTCTTTTTGTCAAAGAAGGATTCCGTCACGTGTAAAATTAGTTATTTCTTAGTGTGTAGTTGAAACTCCCAACATAACTGAGCTATCCCCGATAACGCAAGGCATAGGGCTATATTTAGATTAGCATTCATTATGGTACCATTTTCATAACTTTTATTATTATTTGTATTTCTTTTCCAATATGTTACTGAATACACACAATTCATAAAAAAGGCAAACAAAATAAATGTTGACGACAAACGCAAAGGTCCAGTGAGGACGTGAACTATGAACTGTGCACCATCTATCTTGTCCATCTGAACAACAGGTCTCATCATTCAGAACAACTTTACTTAGCAAACTTGTATCTAATCAGGATGTCAAGTCAAAGCAAACAGTAAGATGTCAAATTGCACACTAGCGTCACCTAGTTAGTGAATTGTAAACTAAGCTGTGCACCATTATAAAGCTCTTATTCATATGAACAACATTGTCCAATACCGCACCCTTCTATCTAGTTTAGGTCACAAGTTAAAGCAACCAATTAGATAGTAAATGGCAGACTAACGCCTTCTGGTCAGCGAACTTTTAAGTGTGATGAATATCACCACCATGCTCAATAGTTATTATTCACTTGAACAACTTTGCCGAAGGCAGCAGTCTTCAATGTCAAGTTAAGCAAGTAATGTGTAAACAAATGTCACATCAGCACCATATGAAGGGTAAATTCTGAATTAAGCGGTTCACCACACGGCCAATGACAGCTATTCAAAACGCAAAGGGCAATTATTGACATTAATATTGATGATATGAATACAGAAATATTATTAATACCGATATATTGTCGTTCATATAGAATGAATTAAGGGGAAGCTTACCGGCCTGAAAATAAAAAGTTGGAGGGTGGTGTACATGACACAACCGCATTGTTGACGTAGGACTACGAAATTTTTGTTCGATTTTCTAGTTTGTTGCTTCGGATATTGTTTTGGAATTAAGAGAATTTCATAACTCAACTCTTTTCTAGAAATTTGTGGTGGCAATTGTTTTTGGGTGGTTTTGTATAACCAGTTGATGGTTGATGAAGTGCCTTCCGAGATTGATGTTGTCCTCGGAGTGTTAGGCCTTGGACAATATGGAGGCCCTGCAATACGGTCGAGAACATGACACGATGTTGGATTAATGATTCACCTTAGGCATGGTGGATGGCATCGATGATACAGCAGTAAATAATCAAGATGCTCTTTGATTATGATGTCTGTGTTTGGGAAACAATCAAAAAATGAAATTTTGATTGCCTTTCTTTTTGAACACGCCGGTAAAGTACACAGACTCCTCCCATCATGAGTAGTTTGCTATCAATTAGCGACACTGGCTCCTCTCCTTTTGTACTCACTGTAATCTGTAGTTATTTACGTTTCGAAGATGTCGCGCAGCAGGAAAATGCATACGATGAGAATTTCTCAGTTGATGAAAGTGAAACGGAAAAAAATTTAGTGCACCGATAAGACATATGAACATAATTTATTTCCCGAACAAATTATTTGATTTTTGAATCATTTTAATGTATTTAGTGACAATTGGGTTCTTAAATTTTGAAAAATTTATCGGCTTTTATGTATCATCTGAAAAAGCTCCGTTTTCTGAGCACAGCGATATTT